TGGATATGGGGTAATACAGATATTATTGGAAAATTATTTTTGAAAATATCATAATAAAATATATATATATATATATATATAATCACTGTTGTTCATAGCTTTTCACTGATATCGAAACTTGTAGCATTTGTGAATTCTGATGGTGTTCGTTTCCACGGTACGTTACTGATTGTATACAGATTTAGTTGTTTTGGGAGTCTTATAAAGAGGTTCTTGTGTCATGTGGATAAAAAAAAGTTGATAAAGAGGTTGTTTTTTCTAGTACAGTATGTTCTGGTAGATTTCATTATTTTCTATTTATTTTTATTATTTTCTTTATATAACTTAATATTTCATTTATTTGTTTTTCATTATTATTTTATGTTTATTTGATTTCCTCTAAACATATTACAACATCAACTTATAGCAACTACCACATCTTATTTATTTTATTTTGCATTGCTTTGTTTTTTTTAAAAGTTGTTACCATTATTTTATTATTGCTTATTTCATCACTATTACTGTTATTTTATAACCTCCTAAGTTTGTTCTCTTATTTTAATAAACAAGCAAACATTTTTTGTTTTGAACTTTTCGTCTAAAGCAGGGATCTCCAAATGTTTTAACCTACGGGCCACATATAGACCTCCGCCTAGATCCCGTGGGCCATGGGCCATGAAAAACAAAAAGTCTTGTTTTATAAATGACAGTTTAGTAATTAAATGAGCTTTCTTAGAGAAAACCCCTTTGTAATAAATGTTCTAGTAACCTCTTGTGTGAAAAATTGGCTAAATTTCATCATTTTTTGATAGTTGTTAAAAGTGCATCATGTAATCAGATAAACTCTGACGGGGCAGATTGGAGGTGCTTGCAGGCAAGGGCCGTAGTTTGGAGACTCCTGATCTAAAGTGTTACCGAAAGAATCGTGTGGGATTAGAAACCAGAGAGAATCACTTTATTTTCATAAAAGGGTGCTGCCCACTTATTGTTACATAATATTATAGATTGAAAATACTTTATTTTAGATAAATTGCAATATTTGAAGACCCACTATAAAAAAGGATGTTACTCTTAGGCTAAAACTTTTTATGATAATGTGTTTAAAAAAAAATTTAAGGTGAGTCAATTTAGTTTCTAAAACAGTTAAATCTAATAAAGGAGGCTTTGAAAAAATAAAAAAAACAACATTGGTGAGGTAGGAAAAAGACTTGCACTACTCAAACATGACATTTTTGTCTTCTTTTAGGTATCTTGATGAGTGTATTTATATATATTAATATAACGCTACTTTATAGTAAATCTGACTCAACTCAAATATTAATTTATCACTCTTGTGTAATCATAATCAATAAGATGATTTAGATTATGCCAAAGTTAAAAAAAAAAAGAGTTATATCAGTCTCTTTGAAGCTAGCAATTTATTAAAACTTGTCTATTAACTTTTATATTGATACAAAACTAATTGAAGCTATATATAATTTAAGTGAGCAGAGTATTTCTGTTCAAGGAACATTTCTTTTCCTTTGCACAATTAAAACACAATTTATCAGCACACTATAACCAAATATACTTCTTATATTTATATCTAAAAAAAATGTTCTATTTTTCTTTTATTTATTCTTTTTCTGTAATGGACAGGGGTAAGATATTTCTTTTGTCTCTTGGAAGTCTATCAACGTTATTGGTAGGAGTAATTTCTTTGACACCTTGTAAATCTGCAATATTCCCCTATATAATCCTACGAATATATGTTTCATTAAATTTTTTTTTAACTTTGTAGGTTTTAATTTTCTGTTGCATCATTTTAAATAAGTGAAATGTTTTTTAAATAATAGAGTATATATAAGAAAAATAAATGTAATGTATACCAAAGTATGACCTTGCAAATCAACTTTGATTGCACTCTTTCCTTGTCATATTCAAAAAAATCTGGAGTGCGCATCACACGACTTTCACTTACCCTCTTCTTAACAGAAATTAGTATTTTCAGAAAAAGACAGTGAAAGCGAAAATAATAGATGCTATTTTATTTAAATTTCACTGTGGGATTTTTTATAGGTATAAAAAAAAAGACATCTAGTAAATTCGCACATGAATATAATGACATGAAACACATGTTGAGAAACTACCCATAGGTAGCACTCTAATAATATGTCTACATTAGGAGATCACGTGACCATCTTCTTTTCAAACTCCTCGGAGGGTTATCAGGAATTGAATAGGAAGCAAGGTTAGAAACAAGAGGGTTGGGATGGTTATGAAGTTTATTATGGAAGGATAGATATCTGGATTGGGCCAAATCTGATACATAAGGAACATTAAGGTCATTGTGGATGATTTTATTTGTAACAAAGTAAGGATCATTAAGGATTTTACGAAGGATTGGATAAGAGAGGAATTTGAAGGTTTGGTGGAGCCCCATAGTTCAACTCCGTAAGTCCAAATAGGCCTTATTATAGTCATGTAAATGAGTCTTTTGTAATTAATAGGAAGATTAGAGGGTTTGCCTAGTAAGTGTTGAAGTAGTAGGAAACGTCGAGCTGTTTCTTTTCGTTTCAGTCTGGTATGAGGATTCCCAGTTAGACGTTTGTCCAGGTGGAGTCCTAGGTATCATTGTGGGTATTTTTATTTTTGTTTAATTACCCTTATACATACAAATTTTAATTTTCTATATCGCTGTAATCTATACAATTAAATATTAAATAATATCAATGATAGCATTTATGAAAACCACACACACACACACACACACACATATATATATACATAAGATTGTCAGAGTCCGTATTACATTAAGCTCATGTTACGTATGGAAGCCTGTTCTAATCTTTCTAGTGAGCTCGGGCTCGCTCGTATTCCTTTGGTTTCTCCATTACAACTATTATCAGTTACAATCTCTTATTTCTCCTTTAGTTAATTATAAAATTCTTTAATATTTTATATTTAACTATTTTTTATATCAAAGATTAATGTGAAATCATTAATTATTTCAAATAAAAAAAATGAAGGTACTTTAGAGGAAGCTAATATTGAAAATTAGCCATTTAAGCCCTGTTAGAAAACATCAGTGAGAATAAAACCTACATTATATTTAAAATTGCTTAATAATACACTGATATACTAAGTTTAATCAAAATTGTTTAAGCCATTTTTGAGAAAAACGTTAAAATGTGTTAAATCGATGAGTTAAGGTGTTTTTGAGTTAGGCTGTTCACATACATACACACTCATGCACAGACTATTATGTGGGACTTGGTTATTTGGACTTGTTCATGATCACAATACTTACTCTTGCTATGTATTACATATATAGGTAAGTAAAAGTAAAAATAAGTATAAAAGAACATGATGTGAGAAAACAGACTGAAGGATATATATAACTTAAGGGCAAGAACAGGTATAGGGTCTGTATTACATACTGTTTGGGCAAAGATAAAAAAAAGTGTTACCAACTCTATTGGCAAGGATAGATATCAGAGTATGCATTGAAAAGCACTTGAAGGTTCTAGGAATAAAGTTTCACACAGACTAGCCCTTTAGTCCACAATCACTAAAGGGTTACAGAACATTGTATTGTACATTGATATAACGAGTTTAATCCATATTGTTGTTGTTAGTGCCACTATACACTGATAGTATAAAAATGCACTTATGGTTAGTCAATTGTAGTGAAAAACTTGCTGTAACATCACAGGCATCCCTACCTTGAATATGTAATTTCATTTTTTAGTAAGGCTGTTTACACACACCATTTTACAATACTTGGTTATTTAGACTCAGGGGACCTTAAAACTTGTATTTACATTGAAAATTTGGATTCAAAATTTTTCATAATCTTAATACTTACCCTTAGTCCATATTTCAAATATAGGTAAGTGAAAGTATTTCGTTTTGACCATGTAGATTTTTATTAAATGAGTTATTTAAATTTTAACAAAAAGTTGAGAGATTTCACATTTAATTAAATAAATAATATTAATAATAAAATTAAATTAAACAACATTGAAAATCAACCATTTGACTAACCAAAATTATTTAATTTATTTTAATTCACAAACTTTAAACTTTGTGCTTTGAAAATGAAAGCTTCCTTCATCTTTATTGTTTAATTATATAAGAAATTGTAACTCTAAAAGTATATTTAACCATTATGGTCAAAAAGTTTCCAATGTTATTACATAGATATTAAAAGAACCAGAGTGGAAATATTTAAGTTAGTAGGAAAGTGAATATTATAATGAGGTATGCACATTGTCCTTTATTTTTATACATTTGGGTTAGTGATAATGATAGTGGAGTTAGACAAGTTTCCTTTATTATGAGAAAAAGAATGTTTTATATTTTTTTTAAATGTATATGATAAATCATTCAAGTAAATTTACAAAACATTCACTTACTCAAAATAAATTGATTTAGATAAATTTTAAAATCATGGAATATTTCAGTTTTGAATTTAAACTGGAGGTTATTTTCTTATATTTGGCAGATGAGAACTGTATAAACATTTTTAGTTTTTATTATATTATATAATAGATTTATTTAAAAGATGTGATTATAAATATTAAATATCTTTGTGACTCAATTCTACGAAAACTTATGACAAACTTAAATTGCATGTTTAACCAATTCATATATTTATTTATCTATTATATGCAAGTATGACCGAATTTCCGACAAAATGTAAATGAATGTATTGTCGTTTGCCTAGACCAAAATGTCATTTTTGTTAATAGTCTCATTGTTTTATATTGATTTTTATATCATTCTTCAATTCAATGGAATAGGCACATCTTATAATATATTGAAATGATTCATATAACAATTTTAAAAAAAGTTTTGTTCTTTGAAGTGAGAACAAATTAAAGTTTAGCGAAACAATTTATTTTATTATATAGACTCGAAATGAAATATTCAATAATTAACTGATAATCTTGAGTTTCAGATGTTAACTGTAATTTATAAAATAATTTCAGTTTGATTGTACTGACTTATTTCGTTAGTATATTTATAATTTGTTCCAGATGGTGCGAATGGTTGCTCAACAAAGTGGAGGTATGGTGCCTCCTGTGTTAACAGCCATAAATTATCCACCTGAAGGTACTCAAACACAAATGCAGTTTATGGGCCCTGGAAGTATTGGTCCCCATCCACATCATCCACCTCATGTTCATCCCAGTCAAAATACTTCATCATCACCCCAAGCTAATAGTGGCCAGCTTGGTAATGCATCTTCAACTTCAGGAGGTAGCAATGCAAGTGGTGGTGGTGTTTCTAATTCAAGTGCTGGTCCACCCCCACCTTCATATCCTCCTTCACCAGCTAATAGCTATTCTCAACCACCACCTGCTGGTCCTGGTGCACCTCACCCTCCTAATCCACCACATCATACATATCCAATTCTTTGTCCTATGATACCAGCCCCTCCACCTCCACCACATCCTGCTCCTCATACTCCACATCATATGATAGCTGCAGCAGCTGCACAGTCTACAGTCCAGACTTACATTCATCATCATCATCCTCATCAACATTCAGCAGCTGGTAATGATTATAATCAACTACAATATTTATATTTTTTATACCTGGTTAGTAAAAATAGTTAATAATACTTGACTATTAACTAGTCTGCTATTCATCCTAAAAATATTACAATTTACTACCTGGTAATAAGCATATCTAAATTGTTATAACTAACTAATTTACTAATACAAATACAAATGACTTAATAATGAATGGTGCAGGGTGAGTAAAATAACCCTTGATATATTAATTTTTTAATCTGGATATTTAATAAATTCATTTAAATTAAATTTAAATGCAGCCAATCAATTTTTTGGCAAAAGCATTCGCTCAAATGAAAAATAAATCATTGACTCCAGCTCATATCAATTAATGCTCACAAAGTTTTTCTATTCCAAAAGCAGTTCATTCATTCTGCACATAAACTTCAAATTAAGATGCCAAACATATTGCTTCTGCAGCTGCAAACTTCTTTACCATTTTCGTGTTACCATCAATAATGTTTAACAGTCGTTGAATGAATTATCGAACTAAATTTAATTATAATTCTGAGATACTATATTTACCAAATTCTTTCCTTAATCTAGGGTTTAAAGTAACTCCGCAAACAATAATGTTTGAAGGTGAGAAGAAACTGATTTAAATTAAATTAATTTTATCTTTATGTTGAATATAATATTTTATAGGTTAAAAAAAAACTGAAATATTTTTATGTTAATGCAACTTTTTTTATCTATTGGTCCAGTGGTATCTGTGTGTTGTGATTCAAAGCAGTATATTGAAAACACTCAGTATATTTGTAGCAGTGGTTCTTTCCCAGGTGTAAAAGAATGACCCACAGGCATTAAAAGAAGTTTCTCAGTGTTTCATGAAAACCTCCATTTGAGAAACTGATAAACACTACTATTACATTTGCTACTTCCGCTTCTACATTCTCCTGCTTCAGTGCTCCTTATTCCATCTCATTTACCAGTAGTACAATAAGAAACTGGTTGTTGTCGGTATTTGTTCATGTTAAAGTGTTAATGTTGAGTAATTGTATTTGTATTTCTGCTCTTTTGTTAGCAAAGGCACATGTAACTGATCCATCACTGGGTAGCTGATGTTTATCTGGGTTCATGAGATAGATGGGTATCTTATTCAGTATCTTCAAGGACCTGAAATCTCATTGATTGAGGCTTGAGGAGCTGTTTTCACTTGAGGAACTGCTTAGATGATCTGAGGTTTATGAATATAATCCCACTATAGTGAGTTGTCGATTATTTTAACTGGTCCACGATTTAAAAAGTGATTTTGAGTTCTGAGACTAGCTTACTTTTTTTGTTAAGTGGGTTAAGACGAAAAAAAAGGTACACTTAATCGTGTTTTGTCTCTTCCATGAATTTTCTTTTTTTGCTGGATATTTTGGAATGATTCTGGCTTTTGATTAAAAGTTTAAGAATTTTGCATTTTTTCTATCTGCCATAGATTGTACACATTTTGTTTCTGTTTTGTTGATTGAAGTGGAGTAGATTTAATTACTCCAGTAATTTCTGAGCCCTTGGTTCTGAACTGTATTAAGTTTATTGATGTAGCAGCTGCTACTCCCCAGGTGCTGATTCCATATTTAATCTTGTGTCAGACATACCCAGTATGGAGACTTCAGCATCTGGTGGACTGCTACTTGATTGGAACCTGTAATACTCTTCATAAGGGCTGTTTTCATATTGCTATAAGGGCTCCGATTATGCTTATCCCAATTTTTTTTTCATTATTCTTAGGTATGTTGGGTGGTTAGTCACCTTTGCTGATATTGGTGAGATTTAGCCTGAGGTTCAGGTCTGCTGACTTGTTTGGTGTGAGGTTGAAGATTGTATATTTAGCCTTCTAAGTGTTGATTTTGATGGCCTACTCCATCCATTCGTACATAAGAGTTTAGAGCTGCTTGGATACTGTATTATACTTGGCTCTGTTTGGATGATGGATTTGGCATGGCTTCCTCCCTAAGGCAAAGTCATTTGTTTATAGTGAGACTGAGGAATACTGTCGGTGAGAGAACTCCACCTTTTGGTATTCCATTTTTGAGAATTTTCGGTCTGCATTCAAGGAAGCCTGAGCCAGCTTTTCCTTTCATCTAACAGTAATATGTCAGAGAAGAACTCTTGCTATCCCTATCTAAATGGGGGATTTTGATCATCAGCAAACCTTGTTAAATGGATTTTGAAGTCCACAGAAACTGCAAGTGTGTGTTCATTTCTTTAATCTTCTGAATGCTAAAGGTAACTTGGCCTGATCCGGTTCTGTATTTTTCTAAATGCAGTTTGTTGTGAGGCAGGGCTTTTCTGTTCCAAGTTCCAGGTCAGTCTGTCATTTACTAGTTGTCCCATAAGCTTTCTGGTGCAAGTAGTAGAGCTATTGAGAGATAGTTATTAACATTCCCTGTGAGTTTTTCCTCTTTTAGAAGCTGAACAATATTTCCCTTTTTCCACATATCTGGGAAGATGACTGTTTTCCAGCTTATATAAAGTAGGTTAAAAAGCTGTTTCTTCTCAAAGCTCGCCATATTAGTCTGAAACTCATCCATGACCTATTTACACCAGGAGAGTTTTCAAAGCGGTATTATTTGGGTGCAACGTTATGTATAGAGGATTCATATCTCTTGAAACTGTCTTAGCTGCTTTAAGACAGATTTTTAGTTTCAAGTAAGTTTTTTTCTTTCATGGTATACCCCTCATATAACACTTAAATGCTCCATAAGTACTGCTGCTACTTTTTGGTTCAGATGTTTACTTCCTTTTTCTACAGTGATCATATTATACTGTTATTTATCCCCTGCTAGTATTTTTATTGGTATAAAGCATTTAGAAGAACCTTCTTGATCCAGATTTAGCTCCTCTTTCTTTTCTTTTTTTTGCCTTATTTTTTTTTTAGTTTGAATGTGTTTCTTATGTTTTACTGTGGTTTTCTTCTGGTTATGGTTATGGTTCTCTTGTTGGATGGTTTGGTTTTAGCCGTATCTGTGATAATTCTTTCTCCAGGTGCCTCTAGATATGATTTCTTTTGCAGCTTTGAGGATAACTTTACTGAATTGCTTGGCTGTGAAGTTGCTTTTTCTGGACTTTGAGGTGAATTTATTAATGACATTTTCAAACTTTTCTCAGTTGTCCTTTTTTGAGAATAAAAAAGGTTATGAACCACTGCCTAAAGAATACCTGTTTGTAGGACAAAGCTGGTGTTAATATGTTTTGATAAAACTTTTCAGAAGAGCTGGGCATTGCACATACTAAGTAAATTTATGCCTTGATTATTTTTTATTCTGCCTATTATTTGTTTTTTATTTATACTGTTTCTTCTTACAAATTATGGGATTCATTATTAATCATTTAACTGTTTATTAAGATATGAATATAAATTGTTGGATATCACTATACTATGAATTTGATTTCCAAATCACATACTCAGTATTAATTTATAAAACATTGCCTATTATTCAAGTTGACTGAATGCATCTTCAGATTTTTTTAAATGGTAGGTTATTAAACATATACATACACACACTTAGGTGTGTATGTATATTAACTCAGTAAATATAGTTTTAAAAAAAGGGTTGAGTTGTAAAATATGGAGTAATTTTGATATTCAAGCATGTGTTGCCCCTCTTGTGAAAAATCAAAAAAGGTGGAAAGTGAAATCAATTTCTTTCAATTTTCATTTACAGCATGTTAAAAAATTCAGAACAGCTATTGAAATAAGCCATGAAAATTTTTAAAAATGTCAAAAAAAAAGAAAAGAAAAAATCAGTAATGTTAATGGTTTTGCCTTAATAACTATTTTTTACTTTCACTTACCTATATATGTAATATATGGTAAGAGAACGTATTACGATTGTGAAAATTTTTGAATCTGTTTTCAACGGAAATACATCTTTTGAGGTACCTTGAGTCCAAATAACCAAGTCCCGCAAAATAGTCTGTGTATGTTAGTAGTCTAGCTCATAAACGAAAAGTCGTATGAAACTTATATTATGTATTTAAGATAGGTATATGCCTTATATGTGTAGATATAGATAATGAGTAAGATAGGTATATGTAACAGCAACTTTTTCCTTTAAATCGGCTAACCGGAAGTTGCACTTTATATCAACGATTAAACACATTTTTACAATTTTGTCAAAAACAGCTCTAACAATTTTGATTAAACCTCGGTGTATCATTGTATAATTAAGTGGTCTTTAATATCAATCAGGTCTTATCCCCATTGATGTCACTTTACAGGGCTTAAATGCCTAATGTTCATATACGTCTTCCTCTAAAGCACCTTTAATATGGTTTATTTTAAATAATTAATCATTTTACATTTTTAAGAGTTATGAAAAAATTCTAAATATAACTTTTGAAAGAATATGATAATTGAATAAAGGAGAAAAAAATAAAAATGCTTATCCAGGTCGAAAATGATTCTCCTGAAATACTAGTCAGAAGGCATACATATAATATATCATTGGAAAGCGGGAGAATTTTAGAATAAACAATATCTAATATAGAAAGTTGTAGAAGGTAACGGAGAATGGGGAAAAAATTATAAATAATAATTTTTGAAAACTAATATTATTTAATGTTAATCACATGTTTTCAAGGAAATTAAATGAAATTTACTAAATAAATGTAAACTTTTAAAATATTTTTAAGTTTCAGAAAAGTATTTAAAATCCACCTAATTAAGGCAATGCCATGGATAAGTTTGTGATACCCTTTATTGCAGGAAGAAATAAAATGTTGTTTGTGACATATTTATATTTCTATGATTCAAAATTTGCGAAAGAAAAAATATCTTGTATATGATGCAATCACCAAAACAAAAAGATCAATATTATTCTCTAGTAAACAAAAGAATCATGTATGTTGAGAAGATAAAAAATTATAGTTTTCACTATGAACACACATACATCATCTATTACCTGCTTAATAACCATTTGTACTTGTTGCAATGCCATGTGAAGCATGATTTGTTTTTTCATTCAATAACAATTTATACTATGACAATTAACAATTGACCCTATCTGTAGGAACATTGGACCATCAAATAGAATTTTTGCAAAAGATTCTTACTAGGAATGATGAACTCTTTGAGTACTTTTTATACCTCTTTTATTTTCTACATTCCATTGCCCATTGTTGAAAGTAATTAATTATTTAATCAACCCCATCTGGAACAAAACTGCATTAAGTAATGCATTTTTTATTTAAAATTTTGTATAACATTAAAATAAAATGAATTACCTTTTTTCAAATTGTATTTTGTTTGAATATAAGTGTTAGTTAAAAATAATAATTGTTTTTCTTTTTCTAAAAATTGTTATTCCCGTGGAATATAAAGTAATCTCATTAAATGCCCTTGTATATTATCTACATAATGTTTTAAAGATGGTATTTAATTTATGAACACCAATTTGAACCGAGGGTGATATTATTCAGTTTCCAGTCCATTTTTATTAAAGTTGTTATTTATATTTTAATTTCTTTTGAAAATAATTGCAAGTATTTTGTATGAATATTGTAGGAAATCTAATCCCATAAAACATTGGATTTTATGAATTTTGCTGTAAAAATAGTCAAGACGATACCACTGAGATATCTGTAATTTTTTTTATTTTTAATTTTTCCAATTTCCATTGCTCATCTTAATAGTTGTTTTGAATTGTCTAACATAATCAAATTTAATGCTATTTAAAACTGATGATGACAAGTTTTTTTCTGAAATGAAGTGGAAGGTAGTTACTGTGGAATAACTGGAAAATGTTTTTACATCATGGTGAAAAACGAATATGTGTGGGGAGGTTGAAAACTTGAATTTTTCACAATAGTGGCATTATGTAACACCTTAAAAATCAAAATCAGTCCACCTTTTGTAATCCTAATAATACGATTACTGGAGTATTAAGAAATTATTATAGCACATATTGTGTAACTGTAAGATTCTCTAAGCTCCATTTAGGGGTTAGTCTTTCATCCATTTCTAATATAGTAGTTAAGAATATGATCTAAGTTTGATTTTCTTGTAAATAATAATGACAATACTTATCATACAACAAATTTATTGTTACCTTGCTTACTTATTAAATATGGGATCATTTACCATAAATCCTCCAACTATCTGCATATGATAAATTAAAAGATGATAAAACATATTTTTATTTATTTATCCTATGCTCACTTGCGACAACTTAGCCATGATACCGAACAGTGAAGAGAGCAGCTTGTTTTCATCAGCGATGGCGATTTTAAAACATAGGTTATGCTATTTATACTATTAAAAGAAAAATTAGTCTATAGGAAAACAATAAACCTATAAATTCACTTTCATATATACATAATTTTAATATCAACATTTTGTGAACATTAAGGTGTCTATAGTGAAATAAGTTGTATTGGTAATTTTTTTTTTGTTCATTAGATTAAAATTCTGTTCTCTATTCATTGCATTGTTAAAATATCTGTTTCTGACTTGTTAATAATTGTTATTATGTATTGTGTTCATTTTAAGTAATATTTTAATTATAGAAAATGTCATTTGTGATTATAAGTTGTCATGGGTTTATCAATAGTTTTTAGTCATAAGTTATTGAATGTTTTGCTTATAGATTATTTTTTTTCTTTTGTTTTGTTTCTAGTTGGTAATCAGCAACACCATATTCAAGTTATTCTTCCTCACAGCCAATGATGACAACTTCATAATAGAGTCATATTTAATTTAATGTTAAAAAAGAAGAAGAAACCCACTAGATGAGGGTGTATGATCCTTCCTGTGGTCAGTTGTCAAGTTTAAGCATTATGAAGCTTGGCAACTAAATTTTATAACTGCACTGTAATTCCTTTTTTTAGAAAATATTGTAACAATTAATAATATCTGTTCCAATCTCTAAATTCAATCATTCATCATATCATATTGTTTTTTAACTCAATGAGTTATGTTTTAAAAAAAAAAAAAACTGAAAGTAGTTTTATGTTAATCTAATCATTAATAAGTATTTGTTTTATGATTCAATCATAAATAAAGCCCAGTTTACATTTGAATCTTGTCAGTATATAGTTAACAGAGATACAATATAACTGCCTTTAATATGGAATATCTATATTCTAATATAGCTTTGAAGCTTATTTTTTTTATTATCATACTGCTTTCTCCTTTTTTTTTGGAGCATTAAAATTTTTGAATTGAAATATAAATTTAAAAAGTGTTATATCAGTTTCAGTTTTGTTATTATCGATTTAAGATAGATTTTGTTATTGAATTCAAGTAGTTTAACTTTTTAAAATAGTAAACTGCTTTGCTTAGGGGATATTTTATTATACTGTTAGCAATTGGAGCATTGATAACCGTACTTTAAAGGATATCAATGTAAAATGCAATAATAAAGGAAAGTAAGACTTATATGTACTCTTATAGTATGTAAATATATCATCATTTTTTTAACTTGTTAAATTCAAAAGTTCTACTAGAAAATTTAGTAAACATTAAATAATAAAATTATAATCATATCTAAATAGTATTATTATTGTTTAATACTATTTTAACGCTTTATAAGCGTAAGCTAAACCACTAGATTCACTTTGTGCCTGATTATATTGTTAAATTTAAGATATTTTTTTAAACTAAAATTTTTGCATAAGTTTATATTAATCAATTTAGATAAGCTGAATGCTTTAACAGTTAATTAAGCTATCATAATAAATCATATCCAATGGGTTTTTTTCTTATCTATTTGGTAAACTGAAGCAGATGATTTGTATTGACTCTCAATAATTTCACCAGTAAAGTTCTCTCCACAAAGGTGCATATGTACACTTGTTTATAAACATACAAATTACTACAGTTGTCTTCTTGTTACTAGTTGAAGACTGAATTAGTTTAATATCAAGCATTTTTGACGTTTATATGTTTAATCAACTCTCATATTTGCCAGTAGCTTTGAAATGAGCATATATTTTGTAAATGCATATCTTACTCTCATTTTCAGTTTTCAGCATTAGATTTTTTAGTCTTTTTGTTTATTCATGGCATTTTTATTTGTGGTAATCTTAAATATATATCTGATTTTTTTGTGAGATTATATAACACTTTAAATTTAAACCTTATCAATGCTACTTGTGTTTCTTTTTATTACAGAATATTATTCTTTATTATTTTTTTTTTTTATACGTTATTTAATTTTGGTAAAATATTGTTTTTGTGAATAAGTGAGTGAGAGAATATAAGAAAGGGCAGTGTTCATAATTTATTTGACATTTCATGACATTAGAATAAAGGCAATAATAAAAAGGTAATATTGTTTAAACTCAAATTACTGATAACAAGCAGTTTACATATCATGCACCGAGATTATAACTGTTTAATTCAAAAATTTAAGTTTTGTAGTTAATCTTTTATTTGGATTCCACACAGTTACGCATACTAATAAAATAGATTTGTCAGTATTTTGATGAAGTACTCAATATTTTGGGTTTCAATATATTAACATATGTTGCTTATTCCAAATTAAAATTTTATTTTAACTTATTATAAATTCCACTTTGGAATTAATGTAATAAATTATTAAAAATCTCTATTTTTGAGTTATACTGTGTTTATTTAGGGATAGAATATGTGATCCTTGATTATTTGTTAATTACTTTCTTTTGTTTTGTTGTTATGGTTCAGCAGTTATTGTTCTTTTACAATTATCACTTACTTATCCTATACTTGATCATAATTACTCAAACAATTAATAGCATGTAATATTGTGGGTCTGAGTTTATTTAAGTTTTCTTTTATATTTTAAAAAATAATCATATTTTTTTCAAATGAAAGCACCATAAAAAAATTTCAACCATTTTATTTATATTATTTTAGTGAATAAACACACCCACACAAATTTATATAAATATGTTAATTAAATTCATCTTAATTGAATTAAAACTAAAAGTAATTATTTTATAAAATCATAAATCCTGAATTGAACTCTTAATGTTTTAATGTTCATAAATTATTTATAATAATTTCCTTTTTCTTTTTATTATCGATAAACAATTAATTATATTAATTTTGATTCACAAATGCCTATTTAACTGAACCGGTTCAGATTCTTAGAAGCTCTTAGCAGTTTCCCGTGATATAGATTATATCCAAATTTTTAAGGAAATAATATTTATAATACTTGTTTAATTTTCCGTGATAATCACAAACAGAAAGTAAATGGAATACATATTCATTTGCTTAGTGCCTTTTAATATATTGCGTGTCTGGCCAATAAATCAATCACATTGAACAATTCAAATTTTATATTGTTAGGATAAATTTATTTAACGACAGAAGAAACAGCATATAAACATTTGCATATTATTTTTTTCTTTCCAGGCTAAGCTTGTTCAAAGAATGTTCATGGGATTCACACTGTGTAATGTTTTTGACATTATTGTATATATATAAAGTTCTGCAGTTATATTTGAAATAATGTCGGAACATGCAAACACTCTGTTCTTGTTTTTCTATATATTCACATTTATTAAATAATTTATAACTTAAGATAAAATGCAGTACAGATTGCATTTTTAGATGAGTAGGACGTAATATTACTCACTATAACTTAAATTTACATCCCATTTACTTTAATAAATATTAAATATTTCAATTTTAAAGCATTACGTTAAGATAATGACTTTTTAATTTTAATTGATACCATGTATGATATCAAGATAAAGAAAGAAAAACATAGCAGAGACAGCCTTATGTTCTAAAAAGAAATTGTAAACATTTGTATTTTAATCTCAATCTGCAATTGAACTGTTATGGTAAAGCACATTATCTTCTGTTGAAATCATATACTAACAATATACGTTTATTTAACAATATTTACAAAAATAAATTGTGTACTTTTTCTTAGTTTGAGAAATAGTCATAAGGATAGACACCAAGGTATTTACTAGAATATTAAGAACACTCAACCAAAAAATTGAGTGAAATATAGGAATTAACACTGTTTATCTATATATTGTATAGTTCCTAAAAAAATTGAAATTGAACTTTGAAATAATAAACTTTTAAAAATATGAAATCATTTACTAAGATATGCATATGGTTAATTATAGTTAGATAAAATTTATTTGTTTATTTCAGTGTACTTTTGTTGATACAAATACATTATTGATTTCTTGAAAAATGTTGAGTATATAAATTATGTTATAACATACCTTTATATTTAGGATTATATGCTTCTCTGTATACCTATATACTGTGTGTCTTTATATGAACAAAAAAAAAAAACAAACAAAAAAACTGTTATTTGGTAATAATGTAGTATTTAAAAAAAATTACATTTGTGATATTTTATGGATAGCCTGTAAGTTTGTCTTTATCCTGAGAAGATATGTAAACTGAGCTTTAATTGTGTATTTTGATCTATTCATTTGTTACTTTTTGATTTATTTGAATAGGTAAGTTATTGCTTATTAAAGTTTGTTTAACAACCTTTAGGAAATTGCACCTATAGATATACATACTGCATTCCATTTGTTGGACAGGTCATGATATAAACAGAACATTGTCATAGACTTTAATTATTTCATGATTGTAATTCAGTGCTAACAGTTAATTATATGTTAATAATTAAACTTTAGTTAAAAAATTTAATTTATTTCATCCCTACAAATATTTTATGGTAACTAATTATTTTGAAATTTTATTTATGATAAAGTAATATTTTTTTTTAAATGTATTAAAAAAATTCTCATTATTTCCTGATTTGGCTGGTCTCTGTGAAAATTTGTTTCTAAAAGCCTTTTGATTTAAAAGAACTATGATAAGCTACCTATGTTTATAAATTTTTTATATTATGTGGTTGTTTTCCATGAATACATATTTTTTCAGGACAAATTTACCGAAACATTAATGAACATATTTTTGTTTTATTAAGTAATATGAATTCACTTGGCTTTTCTACCATAATTTCAGTTAGCAGATTTTTAACTCTCTTTTAATTAAAACTCAAGACTGAAGGGAAATAAAATTCCTAAAAGACATTTTGTCTTATATTGCTACTTTTATTTGTTAGTTTGGTTGGTAAGTATTGAAGAAATTAAGTTTTAAAGCCTTTTAGGCTTTATATGGCTCATTTCATAATAATCATTATTCCTGCCGGAGAGCTTGCCCCAAATTTTTACTGTTATTAATATTTGGTAATAAATATATTGTTGAATTCACTCATATTATATTAATGTACCTCCTCTCTCTCTTACCCAGACTTGAACAGTACATATGATAAAACTAACTACTTTGTTTTGAATTATAAAGATCTTACACTAGATGCAGCTCTTCCATTTATACATATAACTATGTGATTCTCTGGGTTTATAAAAGAAAAATGATTAATAATTTACATTATTATTATTATTAATTATTATCATTACAGTATCATTATTAATAATTTACATTAATTTGTAGACTTCTTAATTTCCACTCTAAACATCCCTACCACCAAAAAATTAACGTTGCTAAAAATCTCATCCACCGTAGTCTCTCCCTCTCTGATCCCCAATTTCATGTTACCAATATCCAACGTATAAAACAGATCCTGTCAAACAATAATTTTCCTCTCCATGTCATTAACAAACTTATAACAGACCACAATAATCGCTGTTCCTTAATCTTGACTTCCATTAATTCTCCACAACCCATTTCAGCCCCTATATACAGATCTCTACCGTATATTCCTAACCTTTAGGACAACATCAATTAAGTTCTACGATCTACTAACCCAAACTTACGTCTTGCATTCAAATCTCACAACACACTCTCTAAATTATACACATCCTTAAAAGATCCTGTTCCTCTCTCACACCGCTCTCATATCGTTTACAGTATTCGATGTTCTACCCCCAATTGTTTTTCATCCTATATTGGTGAAACCAAAAATCTCCTAAAAGACCGCATCACCCAACATAAATATTCTGTATCCTCTCGTAATTTTACCGCCTCCAAATTATCTGAACATTCTTCTCTCCCTCAATCATACATTTGATTTTGACAAAACTTCCATCCTTGCCACAGGTCTTAACCATGATAAACGACTCATTTCTGAAACCCTCCACATCCAGCTTCAACCAAAGACAGTGAATTTAAAAACAGACAAACAGAACTTATCTTTAGCCTATTCCCAAATTCTGAATTTATTAAAACATCCATAGTTATCCTTTCCTTTTCCATGACAACTTCCTTATCTATCTATCTATATATATATATATATATATATATATATATATATATATAGAAAGAAAATATAATATATATATGTTGACTAGATATTGACTGACTCGTTTCTTTCGTACAGCAGAACTGGCTTAATCACTGATATATATGTATATGTGTGTGTATATATATATATATATATATATTTATTTATTTATATGATATGTATTAATTTCAATTATTCTCCATTATTATTCTACAGTTATTATCTTTGTTTTATTGCCTCTCTAGAATTTCTATCAACTATTTAAGTGTATTACAAATTTAATTATAATTTATAAATTATTTATTTATAATTTATTTATTATAAATTTATTTTATTTTAAACTATTTTATTGCCTCTTTCTATCAACTTTCGTTTTATTCCTTAATATTTATGAATAATATATCTCTCGTTGTTATTTACGCTTCCGATACTTTAGTTCAAATTTCGTCAGATAACCCTTGGAGATGACGCCACTATACATCCCTTTTATCCACCCCCCTCCTTCAATAACAGGAGCATTGCTTCTTCTATCTTAGAGCAGTCAGGTGTGTTATTTCTTCTCTCACTTATTCTCTTTCTTATTTCAACCTTCTCAGTTTCTTTCTCATTCCTTTTCTCTGTTTTAACTCTTTATTATATCATACTTTGTCTGTACATATTGATAGATTTTACAACATCTCAATTTTCTATCTAAATATTCTATTCACAATATCTTAATTTTACTATTTATTTCCATTTCTGATCTAACTTCATATTTTTCTGTTTTACATTTTATTCTAAGATTCCCTTTACAACACTTATGTCACCTTTTTGACTATGTTTACTTCATCATTCCACACTTTGTACCTGTTGTTATTATTTGTCTCTTGTTCTTACTATTGTCATTATTCTAACAACTGCATTTTACTGTAATTTTTATGTTTCTCATACCTTGTTATCTGGTTATTTTCTTAGCCCTGATGATGGTCTGAACTTCAGTTCGAAACATCGGCAAATGACAAAATAAATATTATCATTTATTTTGCCTTCTTATTTGACTGATCACTGCAACTATTACTATTTAACCACTATTATGATTAATAATTTATAGTTGCAAAGAGAAATAGTAAATATTTATTTGGGGATTTATACTTGTATAAATTTGTATACTCAATAAGGAAATGAATATAAAAATATGGATATATAATTATGATTACAACAACACTCTAATTAAAATTATGATTCAGTAAAGACTCTAAATGAATGTATAATTCAGCTGCAATTATTTGAGAATATTGCCACAAAATATTTTAACATTAATTTACTATTGATTTAGAAAACTATTGCATATGATAAGACTTAGCTGATTAAATTCTGACATTAGAGTTGGGGCTGTTAATCTGAGAGTCCAATCGGGTTGCCTTCAGCTATCTCTATCTTCTGATTTGTTGTCTTCTCCTCCAGTCAAATTCAAAGCTCCAAAAGTGTGGAGATGTGTCAAGCTCTAAGTCCAAAGAAGGACATCTCATAGGTCCCTAGAAGTGTGAAGATCAAGCTACAACAGCTTAAGTCTAAAAAGAAAAATTATATTCTTCATCTCTTCCTTTTCAGGGGGAAGGCAGTGATTGTTTCTGACTTATCTTCTTCCAATGGTCGTTTATTTCTTCAAAATGTTTAAACTTGGGCCTACCCATCGGTGGCCAGAAATAACAAGCTAACAGGGATTCTTATAGAACTCTCCAGGTGTTCCATTAGTTTAATTTTATTTTAACTGACCCATGTCACTGTCAATTATAGGGCTTCTCCTGGGAATGTTAAAAATAAACTCTTTCTATAGAGAAGTCAACTTATTTAATTCAGTTTAGTTAAAAGCTTCCATGAACAGCGATCTGGCTAGGAAGTCTTTCAATAGGAAAAAGAAGACTAATCCACTTTGCCATATTTCTATGAACTGTTAAACAGTATCTGATGTGGATTACATCACAATAGTGTCATTTTTCCCTGTTGTTTGGCAGGCACATCTCTTTTTCTACCTACCTGGTTCTTTTTAACCATGTATCATTATAATATTAAGTTTTAAACTTATGAGGCCTAATGTTTGATTCATAGCAGCGTTCTCCAGCTTCTCACTAAATTGCACATTCACATTAGCTAATTTAGTGTGCTGGAATTAATTTAATTTAAATTTTTTTAAAAGTAATTTATTTTCACTGTATCATTATGTATGAATCACTTAAACACCATTTCATATAGATACTTAGTTTCTTCTTCATATGTATTATGATAATTTCTTTGGAAGAAAAAGAAACACAATATATATTTGACTTGGTTTATAAGCAACCGATTTTATTAATCTGTAAGAATTACAATGGTATTAGATAACAAAACACATTAATAAGAACAATATAAATAAACGAAAACAAACCTGTAAGAATTAATTAAATTACACGTTATTATTTATGCTTTTACAAACACAACTTGTAACCAACAATACTACTGTTTGTCCAATACCAGCTGGTATTTACAATTCCCTCTGAAATCACTTTTCCGGAGTGTAAAGTGATAATTTGCTAATATGAAAATAATTTTATATATTTTTTTTTCCGTTGGGAAAGCGGAGAATTTTAGAAAAAATTATATTAAATAAATAAAGTTGTGGAAGGTAACGCAGAGTGACGAAAAAAAATATAAATAATAATTTCAGAAAACTAACATTATTTAACGTAAATCACATGTTTGCAATGAAATTTTTTTACTTAATTTAAACTTTTAAAGTTTTTCTAAGTTTGGAATAAAAGTATTTAAAACCCACCGAATCGTGCCAATGCCATTGTTTAAAATACTATTTAATTATACTTGTATGAAAGAAGAATTGAAATATAAAAATATTTCATAGACATGTTTATGAACTTAAATACTTTTAAGTTAAGCTGTAGTTTAATAACTTTAGATATATTTAAATAATTAGGTATCTATTGGCTGTTTATTCCAAAAAATCATCAAGTAACCTTTTCGAAAATTTAATTAGTGAATAATTTCATGAATTTTCTCTTTGTGAAATCTGAACATTATCCAGTTACAAATAGTGTGACAACTTTTGACCTATCCATGGTAGGCAATGAAAATCTCGTAATTTCATTTTATCAAACTTTACTATGGAAAATAACAGTTTAATAACTATTAGCCCTACAATCCATAATCATTTATAGATTAAATATTCAGAAGTACTTTCAAATTTCTCTAGGCATATATGAACCTTTCGGTTGTCAGAATAACTAACTTCAATTTCAACATTCTTTATTATTAATTATAGTGATGTTTCTAGTTGCAAAATGTACACCTTTATTCACAGTTCTATATTTCAATACTGCAATCACCTACTCTGGAATCTACTTACTCACTGTTTTTATAGATATAACTTTTCCAACTAGAAAAAT